GAGGTAGGACTTTGAATTTTGGAATTTTCAAAGGCGTTGCCAAACTTTTGTTTAATATTCATAAACGATCATAATTTTAATGAATGCATGCTAATAATTTACATTAAATGTACGTTTCCCTATATAGTTTTTTTACATTATTTACAACCTTTTAAGAAAACGAAAAATTTTTTTAAAAATATATAATAAAATCAAACTCAAAATTACTTTTTTTTTTCTAATAAAAATTATTTATTAAAAAATTATAATATTTTTTTCATTTCACAAACTAAAAATAAAAAAAAAATAATAACTAAAATTAATTTCATAACTTAAGGAAAATAACAAAAAAAAAAAATTATATATATTTTGTAGCAATTTTTTTTGACACTTGATCTGAAGTACTTAAACATTATTTTTAACTTATATGCAACAATTAATAAAATTATAATAATTTGTAATTATTATAAAAATAAAAAATAAAACCAAGTCTTGAGATATAAAAAAAAAACTAAAAAAATATTATTAAAATTAATGACTTTAGAGCAAATAATTTGAAGAAAAAATAAACTAAACTTAGAAAAAAAAAAATTAATATTATTTTGAAAAATGAAACATTGTAATGTGAGTAAAATGTTTTTTTTTATATATATAAAAAATTAAAATAATTAAACATAAACTTATTATTAAAAATAATAGAAACAAAAGAATTAAACATAAAATTATTGCCTTTTAAAAAAATTGCACAATATGTTTGTTTTTTTGTTGATTTTTTTTATAACTATTTTTAAGGGATCTTAGTTTTTAAGGTTATATACTCTTAAAGAGTTTTATTTGTTTTTTTTTGTAGTTCTTGCACAATTTTTTTTTAATTCTTAAGTTTTTTTTATTCTGTTTTTAATGTCTCTTAGTTTTCATATTGTGTGTTTTTTTTTTTTTAAATGTTGACTATTTTTGTGGGGAGTTACGTATTTTATTTTAATTTATTTTTACTTAATTAATGTTAATTTTCATGTTTTTTTCTTTTAAAAAAATTTATATTTACAGTTTTGTTGAAAAATATTATTTATATTTATTTTTTTTAGTTTTAACTACGAAATAATGCTTTTCTTTTAAAGAAAATATTTTGTTTTTTTTTTTGTTGAAAATTATAAGAAAAAAAAAATTATTTTAAATTAAATTAATGCTAACAATGGAAAGCTTAAAAGTCCTTAGTTAAGAATCTCAAAATTTCTTTGTGGTTTTTATGTTTTGTTTTTTTTTTCCACCTTCCATTGCAAGTGACTTTCTTTTAAATAAATTTAATTATTTTTTAATGTTTTTTTGTTTTATTTATCTAACTTTAAACTTAATTCCTATATTATGTGGCTTTTATAAAATTTATTTCTAAAATTGTATGTTATATGTATGACACTGTTTAGTTATATGAATTGTTTAAAATTAAATTATTTTTTCAAACTACACTGGTCAACAGTGTTTAGTTTTTTTCCATAAATTTTAAGATTTTTATAATTTTTTAAGTATCAAACCTTTTTCTAATTCTTTTTAAATCTTGAAATGATATTAAATAAAATTTAGTTTGAGTTTTTTTCTAGTTTAAATTTTAACTTAATTTTTTTTAATTTTCATCAGAACATAACCTCAGTTTTTGTTTAAAAGGTTTGTCTTGAAATTTATACTCAATAGTCCATATTAAACTATGATTATTTTCAGAAAATAGACTTTGTTTTGTAAAGAAATCCCGATCATTTTAGTTTTTTAAAGATTCAGAATAGTGTAACCTTTGACCTCTACTATTTCGCTTAACGTAAACATGATCACTACTGACTTTTAGCCCCTTATATTTAGAAAGGTTCTGGTTTAGAACTGTTATTCTTTAGATTCTATGTAATAGTTTCGTAGAATGTTTTTGGAATCACTTCTTTCATCAATGTTATTTGATATAATTCGTTATAGAGTCTATATTAATTCCATAGAATGGTTATGGAACCTGTCCTTTAGAATCTAATGATAGTTCCATAGAAGGTTTTTTGGAACCCTTACTTTCATCAATGATATAAGTTATTGGTTCTTTGGAATCATTATGGAATCTATATTAGTTCCAAAGAACAGTTATGGAAACAGTTGTTTAGAATCTTTGTACGTAAAAAAAATTGATTTTTGTATCCTTTGACCTCCACTATTTCGCTTAGCGTAAACATGATCAGTGCTGACTTTTAGCCCCTTCTATTTAGAAAGGTTCTGGTTTAGAACTCTTATTATTTAGATTCTATATAAGCGTTTCGTAGAATGTTTTTGGAACCACTTCTTTCATCAATGATTTTATAAAGAATTCGTTATATAGTTTATATTAGTTCCATGGAATGGTTATGGATTCAGTTCTTTAGAATCTATATGATTATTCCATAGAAAGTTTTTGGTATCACTTCTTTTATCACTGACTTTTGTTAGAATTTTTTAACTACGGAACTGGTTCTTTGGAATCAATTCTTTAAAATCTAATGATAGTTCCATAGAAGGTTTTTTGGAACCTTTACTTTCATCAATGACTTTAGTTAGAATTTGTCAACTACGGAACAGGTTCTTTGGAATCGTTATAGAATCTATATTAGTTCCAAAGAACCGTTATGGAACCAGTTCTTTAGAATCTATATAATCGTTTTCTAGAACGTTTTTGGAATCACTTCTTTCATCAATGATTTTAGTTAGAATATATCAACTTCGAAGCTGTTTCTTTTTAATCGTTATAGACGCTCTATTAGTTCCAGAGAACGATGATGACTTTTAGTCCCTTATATTTAGAACGATTCTGATCTAGAACTTTTATTCTTTAAAGTTTATATGATCAATCCATAGAAGTTTTTTTGGAACCACTTCTTTCTTTTAGCAATGATTTTTCGTAGAATTTTTCAACTATGACGTTCTATATTAGTTCCATAGAACGGTTATGTAACCAGTTCTTTAGAATCTATATAATCGTTTTCTAGAACGTGTTTGTAACATCTTTTTTCATCGATGATTTTGGTTAGAATTTTTCAACTACGATGCTGTGTCTTTGGAATCGTTGTAACGGTTGTGGAACCAGTTCTTTAGAATGTAATGGTCGTTCCATAGAACATTTTTGGAACCACTTCTTTCTTTAATCAATGATAGACAGAAGAACGTTTTCGGAACCTATTCTCCCATAATTTTTATTTGAACCGCTGGAACTGGTTCTCTAGAATCTATATTCTTTTAATATAAAGTTTTTGGAACTAGTGTTTTCCATTTTGTTCAAAATTGAAAGTTTTATAGAATCGATAAAAAGTTTTGCGATTTGTTCTTTCATCAATGAATATTCGTTCAACGAATGTTTTTGAAAATTGTACTTTCATCAGCAACTGGTTCTCTAGAAGAGCTGAATCAAGATTGGCTTCATAGAACGATTCTAGAATTAGTTTTTTTCTTCAGTGAGTTTTGTTCGAAATTATCATCTTTGGAACATGTTCTCTAGACTAGTTATAGGATCTAGATAAGTTTCAGAGAACTTTTTTTCTTCGGTGAGTTTTGTTCGAAATTATCACCTTAGGAACTGGTTCTCTAGACGAGTTATAGAATCTAGATTAGTTTCAGAAAACGTTTCTAGAACTAGTTCTTTCTTCAATGAGTTTTGTTTCAAATTATTACCTTCGGAACAGGTTCTCTAGACGAGTTATTGAATCCAGATTATCTTCATAGAACGATTCTAGAATTAGTTCTTTCTTCAGTGAGATTTGTTTAAAACTGTCACCTTCGGAACTGGTTCTCTAGAGGAGTTATAGAATCTAGATTAGTTTCAGAGAACGAATCTAGAACTAGTTCTTTCTTCAATGAGTTTTGTTTCAAATTTTCACCTTAGGAATTGGTTCACTAGACAAGTTATAGAATCTAGATTAGTTTTATAGAACATTTCTGTAACTAGTTCTCTCCCTAAATGAGTTTTGTTTGAAATTTTCACCTCCAGAACTGGTTCTTTAGAAGCGTTATAGATTTCATATATTCTTTCCATAGAACTATTTGGAATCAGTTCGAAGAGGTCGTTTTAGAACTGGTAATATGTTCTATTAAGTGTCTAAGAACTAGTTCCATGAAAACTCTTTAGTAGTGATTTAGAATCACAACAATGTTATGAAGAACAAGTTTTAGAAGAAAATTTGCTTAAACTTTTTGATTTCGTAGAGTTACAGTTGAAGATTTCTTTAATTCATTTGGTTAAGGTTTTGAATTTATCTGTAATGAGATTTTTGTTCGAATTAGTTCTGAAAAATCTTTGCAGAACAATTAGAAGAAGTCGTTTCAGAATCTGAAGTAGTTCTGTTTGTTGTCATTCTTGAACTAGGTTCTTTTTGAAAAAATTCTGAAAAATTTTGAAATTAACTTTTTGATTCTTTCTTCAAATGGGTTCCAAAAAGTTGTTTCAGAACTACTAACTACTGTCGTTCTTTGCTAGTAAAGGCGAAAGCGCTAGTTCTAGAGGAATCTGTATAATCTATCGTAAGTTTGAAAAAGTAGTTTTAAAACTGGTAATATGTTGTATTGAAAGCTCTTTGATAGTAATTTAGAACAAGTTTTAGAAGAATTGGCTTTAACTTCTTGATTTCATAGAACAAAAAGTCAAAATTTTTAAAAGTTTGAAATGGAATAGTATTGATATTATCAATATTTATAAAAGTATTGCACTGAAGGCTTAAAACTAAAACAAATTTTATAACAAAGGTAAGGAAGGCAAGGAAACTTAATAAAAAATCTCTAAATTTAGTTAAAAATTTAATATGTAGTTTAAAAGAGGAGTCCTTTGTTGACCAGTGTAGTTTAAAATTTCATTTAACATTAACTATTTAAAATATGTATGTAGGTATGAACAAATAACTTAAGTTTTAATAACTGTATGACTATTTCTTTTCAATATTATTGTGGTTTTAAGAATTATTTATAGAATATTTTTGTTAACAAGTTCTATCTTTTTTAAATGTGTTTTGTTGTTGTTGTAAAAAAATTGTTGT